GATGACACACACGATCTATGTGTTATTTGTTTGGACGAAGAGCACGCACGCGATGTCTCCGAGGGGGCAATCGGCGTTGCACTGCCAGCGTTTTTCCAATGAAAAAGCTCCGCTCTCATTTTTCTCTCTTTTCGAGGAAAGACGGGCAGCCATCTGCTTCCCGCGGGTCAGCCGTCAGGACCTGCCGCTGCCCTACTCAGGGAACCATGGTTACATAAGTAACCTGAGACGGTTTACTTGAACATCACAGCCAGGTGTGTGAATGAGGAACCCTGCTTCACATAAAATCACTCAGATAAACACTTTAGGAACACTGCACCAATGAAACTAACAGTGAATTTGTTAATGGTTTGCAGCAAACATTTTTACGAAGGAGAAATTCGGCTGTAGAAACCCAGTTAAAGAAAGAAGAGGAACTGTGATCCGAATGTGTGAGAATTCACAGCATCATCCATCCAAACTGGGTTCAGAGATGATCTCAGATCTGTGTGGGTTAAACCAGTGCCGTCAAACTAACTGAGATCTCACAGCCTGCAGTAACACCCTTCAGAAAACACTCGAACACAAACCACAACACAATCATTGAAATCACAGAAAACTAACGAAATGAATGGAAACGTGATGTCTGCTGTCACTGTTCTGGACTCTTAAAGACGTCACTGATGTTTGGTTGGTTCTATGGCTTCATAGTGACCACCTTACTGATAGTCCGGACCAGAGGTTTCTTCGGACGGGGCTCCAAGGCGGGAACCATGGTGTGTGAGTACTATCCATATCTAAAAAAAAATTGTATATATATATATATATATACTGTATATATATGTGTGTGTATTTAATGCGCTGGTGTTTGTGTGTATAACCCTTCTGCTAGCTTTCTTTGCAGTTTCCTGGGACCTGTGTGTTTCTGTCCCTTTCTAGGGTAGGTCCTCGGTGAGCACCCCCTCTGCTGGATTCAGAAACCGGGTGCTCGACTTGCAGTGTTTATCTCACTCGTCGATATATGTCCAGACGGTACGATAAGCCGGGTTTCGGCTTCATACTTCCTGGATCATGCGGCCAAATCACAGGCTTCTGTGGGAGCCTTCTTGATCATCAGGCCCCCGGCACGGCACTGCA